ATACTGTACATAGTTTTTTTTATTAATTTAGTGAAAGTAGGTGTCCCCAATTAGCTCTATGAGCTAAATACATTGACACGGTAATAAAGATTTTATTATTATTATTATTATATACAGTGATACCTTTGAGAATTTTCAAAGCCTCTGGCCCAAGTGCCTCGATTCCGTGCATCTTCAGACAAAACCGCTTTTACGCGGGCTCAGATCTAATATCTGCCATTGTAGGACAAATTATTGTATCTTACACGTGATAGTTAGGGTGTTTTTCCGCTGTCTCCAATCCTGAAGCAATCCGACCAATCCCGACCAATCCCGACCAAACCCTGTGCCCGTGATCGGCCCCGTGATCTGCTTCCGCCTTCCAGAGTCAACTTACAAAGTTGTTTGGCAAATTAAGGAATCAGTGTTAAACGTCCTGAAGCAGTTAGTATACCATTGTTAATGTTCAGAAACATGTTTTCTTGAGAGTCATGTGTACCGTTGAATATTAGGCGCCAAATATTTCAGTCACGATGAGTCAACATAGATCTACTTTCCCAGGTTAGTACTTGAGTTAATAAATACAGTTTAACCGTAGGGATCACTGTCCAATAATGTACGAGACGTGGGATCCTTATTAAAACGAATTGGCATCTAAAACAACTTATTCACTCGAAGCACTACAAATATCCCGTATTACGTGTTCATGTCAGCTTTGTTTAGTATGTATTTTCATAGACTAAATTTGTAATAATTGATTCTATAAAGACACACTGATAAACTTTATACACGTAACTTTATGCATTGTTTTAGTAACTAGTAATAATTTTCACTGTATCTGCCTCTGCTTTTTGGTGATATGAGATGTCATTTATGTAGATGATAAACAAAATAGGGCCAAGAATTGTTCCTTGGGGCACCCCAGACTTCACTGACGTCCAATCCGAACGGTTCACGCACCCAGTTCTTCACTGGAATAATGGGTTTATTAGGTACTGCACAGTGACGTTTGTTGAGGAGATGCTTATCTATTTGTTGAGGCAAGAAGCTACACAATATGACTAAGCTTACCTATTTTTTTTCAAATCAGGATAATTTAACCTACTTCACACATATTTTCCTTTCTTAAATTTTTCATCAATTTAAATCCTACAGGAGCATTATGAAGGGATTTACCAACTTTGGCAGCTAGCCACTGCCATTCTAGAAATGCAATTTGATGCCCTTAGGGTTTAATGTTGAAATTTTTCTTTGTGCTTAAGGACAATTCCATGTTACGGACATTACATTCAGAGGCCAATTTTTTGGACGCAAATTTCCTTTACAAACTATTTTGCGCAGTTTTGAGTTCATAACTTTTTTCAAACTTTTATTACATGGTACTTGACTATTAACAAAAGAGAAACTTTTCTTTCTTTGACAAAGGCTGTAAATAGTACAAAAAAATCTACCTACAACTTTGTGTTCAATTGACTTTTTTTCCCTGTGAATTGACTTTTGAAAAAAAAATATTTGATGTTAATACAAATAAAGCTGCTTTATAGTTGTTTAAAATCTAATTGAATCCCTGGTTTTGTGTTTAGATTTTGAGCTTGAGGTGAAAAAATGTTGTTACTGACATCACTCAATTTTTGTTATGGACATACCATGGCTGTGAAACTTTTTTTACACTCATTAGAATAAAGGAGTGTTTTTTCTTTTGATGAAATTTTGATGATATACTTTACCAGAACTGATAATTTTATCTTTATCAGGCTCAATTACAAGTTAATTCTCTTTTGTGATTGTCATGCTGATAACCAGAACATTAATTATACAGTTCTGTGTGTACATGTGACTATGGCCTGTGGATTATCAGTTATCATCGTAGAGCATGCTCTGTGTCAACCAAGCAAGCCATTTTCACCTCACCTGTAGAGGACATAATATGTTAGAAGTATAATGCTGTAGAGTATGAAACCAAGTTTTACATTGAAAGAACCATCAGGGTAATACTGGTGATGTTGAAATCAAATTTCTTTACCATTAAGTTGTGAAATCAATGAGGGTTGATATTGATATTGTCCACAAGAAAAGAATTTTCTGTGGTCCCATAGAGCTGAACGGCACAGGACCTTTCAATGTCCCAAGTCCTGCATATATTGAGACAATGCTTAAATATCTTCAAAAAAGAATATTTTCAAATCACTAACGAAACTTACTGCACATTGCAGTTGTTAAACATTGCATAACTAAACTTGGATTGTTTTGAACTTTTTGCTAGAGAACAATTCATTTACTCTTAATCAGCCAGTTGACACTATTATGGGAAGTTTCACTGCACTGTACTGTTTGTAATTACAATGTTCTCTAAAATATGATGACAGTCATAATTAGTGCAATGGCCTTTGAAGGTTGAAGTATTGCTTGTTTCAAAGTACATTTCTAAATCATTTAATTTTTTTTTTCAGAATTTGTAATCTTCAGATATTTTAAAAGAAGGCACTGAATATAGCCATGATATGTCTTGATTCTCAGTTGAACTTAACCTTTTTGGAAATTTATACTCCTCATGTCAACATGGTGTTGTTACTGTTATTGTTGTTGTTATGGTTATTGTTATTGTTGCTGTTATGGTTACTGTTATTGTTGTTATGGTTATTGTTATTGGTGTTTAGTTACAAGGATGTAAAACTTAGATGCTGTAAATTTGAACAAATTGTCTTGAATGTAGCATTTGTTCCTCCAAAAGAAACACTATTATAATAATAATGATAATTCTCATGTAGCTGTAATGTTCATAAATGTAATATCTGTAATGTAATGTCCATAACATAATGTTCATAACATAAAGCAGCTTTTATTTTTTCAGGTGGTTTTTCAGGACTAAAATAGGAACCTGCAAGCATACCAAAAAAATAGTTTTTTATTTTCAGAGAAAATGAAAAAAAGGCTATTTTCATTATGGAAATTATGTAATGTCCAAAACAAAAATTGCTATTTGCCCTCATTTAGGAAGTAGATCCATAATGATTTTGGAAACAATTTGATCTGCAGGTTTACCTTTGTGTTGATTTCAATTAGTTTTGTTCCTCTGGTGAGATTTTGGGAGTGAATGTGCATTACTAAAATGATTTTGTATCTTACAGCCAGCTATTTTCACACACTTTTCATCAGACAAAATTGACAGCCTCTCTTTACCATTTCCCACAAAGTTTGCATAGAGCCTGCTAGCAGACACTTTCTGGTGTTGCAGTGTTAGTGGGGAAGCTTGTAGTTTTTAAGGTTAAGACAATTAATGCAACTGTGTGGAAGGTCTGTAAGGGTGCTGCAAGGGTTCTGGCAAGGAAATGAACCTTTAAAGACCTATTGCACACTGGCTTTTCTTGCCCACTGGAATTTTAAAGGCCTTTCTTGCCATTTGTGCTGCAGCACCATTGACAGCCTGCTTGTGGGCTTGCATGCATTAACACAAGTAGGAGAAAAATAAATGCTTTTGCCCAATGCCATGCATATGACAAAGGGGAATGTGGTCTTGCAACTCCAAGCATAAACGTGCAATTATCTAATATAAGAAATTTATGACCTTTCAAGGTTGTAAGCTCCTGCATCGTTAAGTTTGTGTTGAGCATCATCATATTGCCTTTACTTTTCTTTCTTGTGCTTATGTTTAAGTAAAAACCAAACTTTACCTTACATAAAGTTAAAGCTTAATTTTAAAAGCTGATCCTATTTATTTTAAAAAAGTGGTAAATTTTTTGATCATGTTTACTGTAGGACCTGATCATGTCAGCTTGGCAAGCATTTACATTAATGTGGGAGCCAGATGTAGTGACCTTGGTGACTTTCAGCTAGCAAAGGACTATTATTATCGTGCACTGGGTATTGTTTTGAAGAAGCTTGGACCTGAACATGTCAGCTTGGCAAACGGTTACAGTATTCTGGGAGCCATATGTAGTGACCTTGGTGAATTTCAGCAAGCAAAAGAATATTATTATCGTGCGCTGGGTATTGTTTTGAAGAAGCTTGGACCTGAACATGTCAGCTTGGCAA